CTTGCAAGACACGATGTCGGCATGCAACGGTTGCTGTGCCCCTCGCATGCTTGCAACACCCGATGTGCGGCAGGTTCGCACCTGCCCGGCTGGACTCAGCTTCAGCGCATCTGCTGGGCAGATTCGGACGCAGAGCTCGCAGCCAGTGCAATCCCACGGAGAGACCTGCCAAGAACATGCAAGAACAATCTGCAACATGCTCTTCTTCTTCTTCTTCTCGCTCTTCTTCTTGTTGTTGTTCTTCTTCCGCTTCTTCTTTTTACGATTCGTATTCTTTGTCTCATTATTCCTCTTCCTCTTCTTCTTTTTCTTCTCCGTGTTCCCCTTCTTTTTTGTCTTCTTATTCCTCTTATTCTTCCTCCTCCTCTTCTTTGTTTCTTCTTATTCTTCTTCTTCTTTCGTCTTCTAGCGTGAAGCTCATGCACCTGAAGACCAACGCCGAGCATGTCTTGTCGTCTTCGACATTGTTTTCTTCTGTGCCCGGCCTGGATGCGGTACTGGAAGTTGTCCAGAACGCCGCCGCCGATGGCAGCACGGCTGCTGGCACGGAACTCCTGCGGGGCCTTGCTAAGCTCCTGGGTCGTTGCAAGGAAGGGCCGCACGGCCGCGTGGGGGCAGATCAGGCTGCACTTGTTGCACTGCGTGCACTTGTCCATGTCAACCGTGGGCACGTTGATGGCAATGCCTCTCTTCTCATACTGGCTGGTGCCCAGTGGCACGCGGCCGCCTGGAACGAAGGTGCTGACAGGCAGGGCGTTGCCATCCAGGTTGTTGCAATGGCTCTGGATTTGCTTTGCAAACTGTTCGGAGCTCAGGTCCACGATAGTCCTTGGCCCCTTGGCCTGCGTGCTGCCGCCCTTTGACTCCTCCTCCACGTCCAGCGATGCCCAAGAGCTTGGCACGGGGCACTCCACAATACCAGTCACCGATGCATCCACGCCATCGATGTTCATCTTCACCACGGCATCGCCCTTCTTGCCGTACATCTTCTTGATGCTCTTCCTAACTGCCATCAACGTTAACAGAAGACATCGCAAAAGGACTTGAACGCTACACTAGCTCTTCAACCTGGGCCTGGGCCAAAAAAACTGGGGTGCCCATGCTGATACGCAAGAAAAAAAAGCTCATGCCGTTTGCTGGGCCAGTGGCTTGAGCATCTCGATGGCCTCCTCGTACGGCATGACACCGCTGAGCTTGAAGAAGACGGATTGCATGATCATGTTGATGCGCTTGCCCAGGCCCGCCTTTACTGCGATCTGCGTGGCATCGATGACGTAAAGCTTGGCCTGCTTCACGGCAAGGTCGCGGCGCATCTTCACGGGTAGATGCCTCAATGCTCAACGCCCGATGCAGCAACACCACAGCAAACACAAGCAACTCGCTGCCAGCTAGCGAAACTGCTTTATAGTTGCTTCTGGGAGGCTGTTCTAACTCGGCAGGGGTCCAAGAGCAGTTGATGACGCACACGCCATTCGGCTTCAAGTAGCGGGTCATGTCATAGCTGGTCACGTAGCTGGACTTGTGCACCGCCAGGTAGTTAGCAGACCTCACGTTGTAGGGCGCATGGATGGGCTTGGGGCCGAAGCGAAGATGGCTGATCGTGACACCTCCGCTCTTCCTCGGATCACAAGCAAGGCGGGTGGCCGAGCAACAGAAAGGGGAAGCAGCACCACAATCCATGCTACCCTGCTACGCAAAAAAAATGAACTTGAAGCGCCTATACCGCTCTTGGTCCTAGTCTCTTTGCGTCGTACTCAAAGTAAGCCTGGGCGTAGAGCTCCGTGCCCATGGCGATCATCTTCACGGCGCTCTTGTTGGCACCCACGGTCCCGTCGCTGCCTAAGCCGTAGAACATGCACTCGGTGGTGCCCTGTGGCAGCACATCCAGCCAATCCCCGACGGGAAGCGACAGGTGGGTGACGTCGTCGTTGATGCCCACCGTGAAACGTGGCTTGGGGGTCTCCTTGGCCAGGTTCTCGTAGATGGAGAGGACCATGTTCGGGGTGA